AGTCTCCATCCACCCAACACCAACAAAAGAAACAGAAAAGACTGTACTAAAAATGGCTAGTAGCCAAAACACTTCTTGGATTTTCTGGACATAATGGGTGGTGTTTGACCTAATTAATAACAACGATAGTATAGAGTTGTGCTTGTGCAGCAGCAGGAATGACGTCACTTTTTAGGCCAATCTGCAGTTACCATCACAATGGTTACCTTGACAAAAACGCAATAGGATTTTCCAGCCCATTCTCATCCCAAGGCGTCATATACGATGCTTTTGCCAAAACATAGATATACAACACACATGGCACCCTGCGTCAAATGAGACGCAGATACAGTGGGTACAGAAAGTATTCAGACCTCCTTAAAGGGTTAGTTCACCCAAAAATGAAAATTAAGTCATTAATTACTCACCCCCATGCTGTTCCAACCCCGTAAGACCTTCGATCATCTTCGTAACACAAATAAAGATATTTTTGATTGAATCTGAGAGCTGGATCAGTCCTACGTAGACTGCCTAAGGGACTGGCTCTTGACGGCCCATAAAGTCATTAAAGAAAAGGTTTAAATATTCCATGTGCCTACAGCGGCTCAAGTTTATCAAGCGACGAGACTACTTTTTGTGCGAAAAAAACATAAATAACGACTTTATTCCACTATTCCATTACTTCCTTATGAGCGCATGCGCGAGAACTGAGACGAGGACGTTCTCATTCGTCTACTTCTTGTTACCGGCTGCTCACCGCTTAGGAGTTTTACCGCCACCTACCGTATAAAATGATGATCCATATATAAGGCGCTCCGGATTATAAGGAACACTGTCGTTTTTTGAGAAGATTAAAGGCTTTTAAGTGCACCTTATAGTGCATAAAATAGGCAATTTGAAAAGCGTATGTACAGCGCGCATCTTCCTCTGCTTGTAAACAGAAAGTTTTGCGCTTCCAGCTATATCAGCACATCATCTTATACGGTAGGTGGCGGTAAAACTCCTAAGCGGTGAGCAACCGGTAACAAGAAGTAGACGAATGAGAACGTCCTCGTCTCAGTTCTCGCGCATGCGCCCATAAGGAAGTAATGGAATAGTGGAATAAGTCGTTATTTATGGTTTTTTTCGCACAAAAATTAGTCTCGTCGCTTGATAAACTTATAATTGAGCCGCTGTAGGCACATGGAATATTTAAACCTTTTATTTAATGACTTTATGAGCCATCAAGAGCCAGTCCCTTAGGCAGTCTATGTAGGACTGATCTAGCTCTCGGATTCAATCAAAAATATCTTTTTTTGTGTTCCGAAGATGAACGAAGGTCTTACGGGGTTGGTACAGCATGGGGGTGAGTAATTAATGACTGAATTTTCATTTTTGGGTGAACTAACCCTTTAAATTTTTCACTCTTTGTTATTTTGCAGCCATTTGCTAAAATCATTTAAGTTCATTTTTTCCCTCATTATTGTACACACAGCATCCCATATTGACAGAAAAACACAGAATTGTTTAAATTTTTTGCACATTTATTAAAAAAGAAAAACTGAAATATCACATGGTCCTAAGTATTCAGACCTTGTGACACTCGTATCTTTAACGGTCCAGAAGCACTTCCTGTTTCAGTTTTTTAACACTACATAAAAGCTGGGATAAAATACAACCAACAGAACATTTAAAACTGAATCAAAAACTTAAACAAACATATTTAAGATGTTTTCTTAACATGTGAAATAAAGAAAACAGTTACAAACTGAAACAGGAAGTGTTTCTGGACCAGTGTTGTTTACATCTTGTGAAATGGCAAAGGAACTGCCTGAAGAGCTCAGAGACAGAATTGTGGCAAGGCACAGATCTGGCCAAGGTTACAAAAATATTTCTGCTGCACTTAAGGTTCCTAAGAGCACAGTGGCCTCCATAATCCTTAAATGGAAGATGTTGGAGATGACCAGAACCCTTCCTAGAGCTGGCGTCCGGCCAAACTGAGCTATCGGTGGAGAAGAGCCTTGGTGAGAGAGGTAAAGAAAAACCCAAAGATCACTGTGGCTGAGCTCCAGAGATGCAGTCGGGAGATGGGAGAAAGTTGGAGTAAGTTAACCATGACTGCAGCAATCCACCAGTCGGGCTTTATGGCAGAGTTGCCCGACGGAAACATCTCCTCAGTCAAAGTTTGCTAAAAAACACCTGAAGGTCTCCAAGATGGTGATAAATAAGATCCACTAGTCTGACGATACCAAGATAGAACTTTTTGGTCTTAATTCTAAGCAGTATACCAGCCACTGCTCATCACCTGTGCAATGGGCTATATGCACGCATAAGTTCCGCATTTGACGTAAGGATGCTCGTCCATTTCCGGTTGTGTAGATTAAAGCGGAGGAAAACCGGACAAAACGGGATTATGGCAGAGTCTTCAATATTTACTGTCCTCCCGTCTTTGAAACGAAACGTACATACGTTTAGATGTAATTTTATATATAGTTATGTTTATTTAATATAATTTTAAAAAGAAGCATAAACACAACGAGGGGTGTCTGTTTTATCTGTTTTTGTGACTAACGTTTCATTAGTATAACCATGGAGTATAAAATTCAATATAAATTCTCGGTATTGCATTGGACTATACGATCGGCGGAAGTTATCGAGCATCCTTAATCCTTCACCGGAAATAACGCCGTGCATAGAGCCCATACAGTCTCAACAGTGAAGCATGGTGGTGGCAGCATCATGCTATGGGGGTGTTTTTCAGCTGAAGGGACAGGACGACTGGTTGCAATCGAGGGAAAGATGAATGCGGCCAAGTACAGGGATATCCTGGACGAAAACATTCTCCAGAGTGCTCTGGACCTCAGACTGGGCCGAAGGTTCACCTTCCAACAAGACATTGACCCTAAGCACACCACTAAAATAACGAAGGAGTGGCTTCACAACAACTCTGTGGCTGTTCTTGAATGGCCCAGCCAGAGTCCTGACTTAAACCCAATTGAGTATCTCTGAGTCTGGAGAGACCTGAAAATGGCTGTCCACCAACGTTTACCATCCAACCTGACAGAACTGGAGAGGATCTGCAAGGAGGAATGGCAGAGGATACCCAAATCCAGATGTGAAAACTTGTTGCATCTTTCCCAAAAAGACTCATGGCTGTAGATCAAAAGGGTGCTTCTACTAAATACTGAGCAAAGGGTCTGAATACTTAGGACCATGTGATATTTCAGTTTTTGTTTTTTAATAAATGTGCAAAAATGTCAATACAACAGTTCTGTGTTTTTCTGTCAATATGGGGTTCTGTGTGTATAGTAATGAGGGGGGAAAAAAGTTAAATGATTTTAGCAAATGGCTGCAATATAACAAAGAGTGAAAAATTTAAGGGGGTCTGATACTTTCCGTATCCACTGTATCTATGGGGTAGAAGGCGCCTCCTAGTGGTCTAACCCTAACCTTACTCCATACCTACACCTACCATAACCGAAGCGTCTCATTTGACGCTAAAGGGTGCCATGTGCATTGGATGTCTACGCTTTGGCAAAAGTGTCTACGCTTTGGCAAAATGCGTTGGATTTTCCAACAGGTTTTGGATTATCGTAAAAAACAAGCTCTGTAATCAACAAAAGTTTATGATATTTGCACATTTTGTCCAACAAGGTACTTATCACAGATGAACACAACTTTTATGAAATTTCAAGCCTAAATGCAGTCGCCAGAAGTAAAAGGCTAAAAGTAGGCTAACACCATGGTCCAACGACTTCAACATCCCCATCACTAAGATTTCGCCAACTCTTTCAGTTTTTATATAAAAACATTTTCCCAAAAAGCTTGAGTTAGAATAATTTATGTATGCTCTATTTATAAGCATAATCAGGCTGTAAAAGTGGGCTGAGTTTACCGGTTCAGCGTGATGGCGTTTAATGTTCCTGCCTCTGTTAGCCGCTTGATTGCAATCGCTTTTTTCAAGACACATTACAGCTTCAAAAAATCTTGAGTCTAATACTGATGTATTTTCTGTCGTAGAATAAAACGTTAAAGTCTCGTGTTCACTGCAGACCTTATTTCAGCCACTTAACCAAAATCCCTTTCAGAAAACCAATTGACTTCAGAACCCAGAAGTGCTAAAATGCCAACAAGTTTCCACGTTTTGGCCTTAAAAGTGATGTCATACCTGCACCACTCTATTACCTTTCGGGATAGGTTTAGGGTGTGGCAGGACCTTCGAGCTCCTCCCATTGCATCCAGAGAGGTGGTGCTGGACATCAAGCTCCACCCTTAGTGGTATGCGAGCAAATAATTTTTAATCTCACTGAATTTCCAGAATTGTTATGCACTTTAAAAAAATCTCATTGAAAAATGTAAAGTTAGACCAGTGCAGTACAATTCTTGAAAGAAGGACTCCGGCAAGCTTTTTTTTTTTTTTTTTAGTAAATAAAAAACCTACACGTGACCAGTGAGGTCTGATTACCAAATGAAGGACTCCATAGAAGCCATTTTTAGTGAATACAAAACACTTATGGATCTGTTTAACCAATAACCGACCCACTTATTCGCAAGTCATAGTCACTTATGGTCCGTCCGTCCATCTAAATGTATTTGAACCATTAATTAATTTTTTTAAAATATTTTATGAAATTAATTAAATATGTTTTGATTTTTTTTTTTCGTTTTAGTATTTTTAGGGCCAGTTATTTGAATTGTATTCATTACTGCCTCTAAAAGTTTGTAAAACTACTTCTAAAATCTGTATATGTATATCTGTATATCTCTATAATCTGTATATAAATATATATATGAATTGCGTTTCTTCCCCAACAGTTTTAAAGTAGGCTACTAAAAGAATCCTTGACGCAATCTAAGGAATCGTTGAGATGAATCTGAACCAGAACCTCTCTAGATCTGTGTTTGTATGTTGCGTGGCTGTGTATTGTCGACATCTGGAGGGGATGGGGCGGGGTGATCCGTGCCTGAACTCGGAGATGACTATATAGTGTGTGTGTGTGTGTGTGTAATCTGCAACAGATGACTTCTTGGGGGATGAGAGAGTCTGGCGGAGGCAAATGTTTCCTTGGTTGAAGCCAGATCAGTTTGCAACGGTTGTGTATGGATATCTCAATACAGCTTCATCTCGCTATGCCATCGTGCTACACCTAAACACAATCTAGCTTAAATGTCTGTACTCGGGAGGCACTGCATTCACAATACTTTAATTCCCGGCGAGGAAGAATTTGGCGAACCTGAAGTGAAACAAAGGAATGTATTGAGCGTGTTGTTGTTTGCGCGTCACTGGATGGAATGGCATATTTGCTCTACAGCTTTCTTTTGTTGGGCAGTGGAGCGCTTTTATTCTTCGCGCCTGTTTGCGCCATTTGCCCTGAAACATGCGACTGCCAGCAAGCGCAGCATATACTCTGCGCTAATAGCGGTCTGCGCACGGTGCCCAAAGCGCCACAGGTGGAGCACGCAGTGGACGTGCGGGTTCTCGGTCTTGCGGGGAACTTCATTCACAACCTTAGCGCCTTCGACTTCATGCGCTATGGCAACCTAATGAGACTTAATCTCCAGTTTAACCAAATAAGGAATATACACCCTAAAGCATTCGAGAAACTTTCCAAACTGGAGGAACTATATCTGGGCAACAACTTAATCTCGGCAATACAACCTGGGACTCTACAGTCGTTGAAAAAACTCACAATATTATATAGCAATAACAACGAAATAAAGGACATTGCTTCCGAATCCCTTAGTCACTTAAATAGTTTAGTCAAACTGAGACTTGATGGAAATTCTATTGAATTTTTAAAAGAATCCGTTTTCAAAGGTCTGCCAAATTTAATGTTTCTGCACTTAGAATCGAACCAGCTTCGCCATATTGACCGCAATGCGTTTTCGCGGCTCAGCAAACTGCAGTTTTTAAACCTATCAGACAATAAACAAACAGAACTGCGAGATAGTTTTATGTTTTCCCATCTTAAGTCACTTACATCTCTTCTAATAACAGGCAACCAAATAAGGCACATTGGAAATAACGTCTTTCAGAATTTGAAAAAGCTAACAAAACTTTCGCTGAGCCACAACAAGATAGTAGAACTGGACAACGACGCGCTCAAAGGGCTCGCGCGCGTTAAAGAATTCGAGATTGACAAGAACGAGCTAACAGAGATCCTGGCCGGTCTGCTGGACCCGCTCGAGCGCGTCGAACACCTCGACTTCAGCGACAATCACATATCTCGCGTGGACCCCCGTGCTTTCGGCCACCTTTCACATCTAAAAACCTTAAAATTGAAAAACAACCGTCTTGAGAATCTCTCCGGTGGAATTTTCGCCACAAACGGCGTTTTGTTTCACGTAGAACTGAATGGGAATAACTGGACGTGCGACTGCCGGATGGAGAAGTTTAAAAGCTGGATGACGCATGCGCATTCTCTGGGAAAGCTGTTGACCGTGTTTGTGCGCTGCCATCACCCCCCAGCGCTGGCGGGAAAATACATGGACTATGTCAGCAACTCGCAGCTGAGAAATATGAGTGGCTATTGCGAGTCAGAACCTCTGTCTCAGCCAATGGAGAGCCATGGAGCGGTAGCAGAGACATCTATTCTCAAGGAGGAAAGAGAGAAGCGAGAAGGAGAAATACATGAACAAGTTGGGGTCCAAGGGGATGAGGGAGAGCAAGGGATTGAGACAACATTTGAAAGAAAGAAGAAGAGGAAACTTGTCAGCTCAAGACCAAGACCCACAGCTGGGAAAAATGTCTCTTTAACTGATTTTCCCACAACAATGTCCACGTTCCTGACAGGCCACACCAACTTTGCTTTAGCCCAACAGGAACAGTTCAACCTGCCCTTACAGGACAGTGCCAAGCATCATAACACAAGAATCGCAATGATCACTGATGCATGCCAATTCAACCATGACTCCATCCTGAATGTTAGCGTGGAAGACGTCACTTCTAGTACAGCCACAGTCCATTGGAGCACAACTCCTGATGTTGGACTGGTTCATGGGAAAGAACTTCTTTTCCGGGTTTTATTTGACCGTTTCGGCCATTCTTTCCGTTTCCCACGCTATGTTTACACAGATGGATCTGACCGGGTGGTGACCCTACAAGAGCTTCGCCCCGACTCCACCTACATCACCTGTGTGGAGAGCGTAGTGGACGGGGCTGTGTGCCAGGTTGCCCCCAGAGATCACTGCACTGGATTTGTCACACTTTTGCCCTCGGTGACAAGTGAGGTCAACCTACAGCTGGTCACAGTAGCAGCCCTTACAGCTAATGCTCTGCTTCTGCTTCTGGTGTTCGTATTCTGGTTGGGGCGTGTGTTGAAGAGGCGGATCAGAAGCAGGAAGTCGTCCGCTCACGGACATGTACGTCACATGTACTCAACCAGACATCCGTTTCGCTCGACTGTGGCTACTACCTGTGTCTCTTCTGAATTCAGTGGTTACCAAAGTGGGAGACAACTGGCTGAAGAAGGTGACCTCATCCAGTTCCCTGGCGAACGTTTCTTTGACAACAGCCCCGCACGAAGAGATGATGATGTCATAATGCTCAGATACTCTGACTGAACTGTCTTGTGTGTCTGAAAATAGACAATTTTGTCCACAAAACCACTGAATTACAGATCTCTTTTCTTATTTTGGTTGATTGTCTAAGCCTCAGCTGCTGGTTGGCAGAATTGCTTGGTTTTGGAATTAATGTATTTCTGTCCTTGTTGAAATGCTATATAGAAATGTATGAAATGTATATAATGCTTTGTTATATTACTTATTTGCATTGTATAGATCAACTGAAGTACAGCACAAAATTCTTTTGTTACAGTTTTTTTTTCAACTGCTTACACACAAAATCATTACTTGTCCCACGATTTCTGAAACCTGACACTCACAACACCAGAACCACACACAAAATCTACAAAGCCAAAACTAATTCTCGACCTTCGACGTTTTCAATTTCATAAAACACTTTTTGCAAACCACAACACAAAAATCTAACAGGAAGTATCTTGATCTCCTTTTTCGAACACAACACATCAAAATGCCACACTAATTCATCAGTGCCTCTCACTAACTCCTCACATGTGCTAACACACATTGCTTTACTTAACACCAACCAATCATGGCTTTAGAATATGCCTATTATTATAACATCTCTCTGCCAATTATTTCAATACTGTACAGAAATGTACATAGGAACCCATGAAAGAAGAGTGTGTGTACACTGTAAAAATGAATATGCTTTATTTAATCAATAAAATTGTGGCAACAGATTACAAGCAATATTATTTATTAAATTGAACAAATTAGAATTGAGTAATAGTTAATCAAATTAATAGTCTAATTAATTCTAATTTGTAAAATTAAATTAATAATATTGCTTGTAATACGTTGCCACAATTTTATTAATTAGATAAAGCATATTATTTTTTTCAAGTGTATGATATGTCCAAAAATATAATATTATGTAATAGATAACGTAAGTTTGCTTTTGAGATGTTTTTGTGATATTTTGAATGCAGTGCTTCATTTTGCAAGAGATGTGAGGCATTTTGCATCTTGTGTATGCAATTTTTGGATTTGCATGTAAAATTTTTGGGGAAAAGGAGGCAAAGTTTTGAAAATGTGTGTAAGCAGTTGAAAAAAAACTGTACATTTTATACATTTCACCTTTATCATTGTTTTTTTTCCCTCAATAAATATATAGGTGTTAATAGTGATAGTGTTAATGCTAGTTCGTGTGTAATGGTTTCAAAGTTTCTCCCTTTATAATTAATTCAACTCTGATCTTACACCCTTCAACGCCAAATTGGATACTGCCGAGCTTTTCTGCAAAACTCCACCATAAGATGGCGCAATAAACAAAAAACTTTCACAAGACTTCAACCCCAACCTTGTCTAACCACAATATAGCAATCATTTATTTAAACTAGCACCCATGCATTCAAACCCTCAGAATAATTCTGCAATAAGTCAGGTGGTTGGAGAAATGTTCATTTCTGATATTAATGTCTTGACCGCAGTGTATGTAAAAAGCTGGACAGTCTCATAGGCTACACTAGTTGTATCACAGTATTCTGAAAATTATTACGACTAACCGTGAAAAAAGAGATCAGAACATATGGATACAGATATTAAGTGCTTTAATTAAACAGGGCCACAAATGTGTAGAAAAATAGATAAATATTTAAAAAAAAAAAAACTGTACATGCATAAAAGTTTAAACCTGCAGTGTTTACAAACATTCTTTTTTTCCAGATTCATAATTCCATATTCCACAGAATGAATAGCCATATAAATGCTTTATCTTAGAATTTGTTATAAGAGATAGCACACATGCTTGCATGTCATTTCCAGGAAATGTCTGACATTTTGATTGTCTCTGAACCAGTAAGTGTGAAATGATGTAGCTATGGCGTATTGAGAATACTGTAAGACATTCCTAGTGCCATGAGTGCGATTAGTAAAACACAAGTCCTTTACCATCATTCCTATACATGATTCTGAATTTGGCTGTATAAAATGCATCTTGCATGTTCTGTCAATCCAAAATTCACATGCGACACACTCAGCATTAGGTAATGTGATACCTGATCATTTGCCAAGGGGCCACTGACAACATTTACAGTGAAGACAAACATGTAACAAAAGCTTTAGCTGCATCATCATTCTTTTATAAAACTAGAGATTCCTATTTACAATTACAGATTTACAACTGCCCTGATTCAATGCATTTCACACAGCCTTGCCATTAGTTTCAGGATTTAGCACACACAGCTGTCACTGAAGCTAGCAAAGCATTTACACTGAAAGTGGCCAAAAAACAACACTCATACACACAAATATGCACACATACTCCAGGAGTAAACTAGATGAGTGTCCCTGAGAAAGATCAGCTGTAAAAAGCATGAGGAGTGTGAGAAGACTGATAGAGGTACAAAGAGGGTGAGAGACAGGTTTGATAATATGAAAACTAAATTTAGTGAGTGTAAATGGACAGTTTGTTTTCCAGCACTGTATTAAATCACAGTGAGGTTAAATAAAACCACTGGAAACATCCATCTGACCCTCGGCTAATTTCCTGAGATGACAAGGGCCATACATATAAACAAACTTCTGATGAATTATTCTATTCTGCAAAGAGTGATACATACATTCCCTTTTAGTCATAAACATTTTGCTGTTCAGTTTTGCTTTTGCACTGAAGGTACCCTAGGTTATAGGGGCCCTGACCATATGGCTCTGAAGACGAATTATATTTTCTGTTCTCATCATTCTGTGTCTATGTAGAAGCATGTTATAGTTGTGTGTTGTTAGTTATGGTGGGAGTGTGTGGTGAGGTGAGTGTGTGATAGATTCGAAGTTGAGGTTGAGATGCTATTGTGTTGAATGGCATGTTGCTGGGCGGGACTTCCTGTTGGGCTATTTACTCCACCTAAACGTGAACATGAAAGGAGTTCATTAAAATGATGGATTTTCAAAATATATAAAATAATATTCACATTATATGGTAGAAAACACAATATAAATACAGTACCATTCAAAGGTTTGGGGCTGGTAAGATTCTAAAAATGTTTTTGAAAAGTCTTCTACTCTCACCAAGGCTGCATTTTAATCAAAATACAGTAAAGCAGTAATATTGTGAAATATTATAAACACTTTTAATAACTGTTTTCTATTTTAATAGAATTAATAGAATATTTTAATAGAATATTTAATAGAATATTTTAATAATTTTTTCAGAATCCTGTAATTTATTTATGTCAAGCCATTACTCCAGTCGTCAGTGTCACCGCATCCTTCTTAAACATTTATCTCCTATCATTATTGAAAACTGCTTAATATTAAATTGAACAAAATTCTTTACTGTCACTTTTGATCAATTTAATGCATCCTTGATAAATAAAATTATTCATTACATTAAAAATCTTACGGTAGTGAAAGAATTGAATACATTTTTATTAAAAATTGTTTTATGGTGTGTCAATGTGTCTGGACTTTATTTCTTTCTTTCTTTCAATTAAAATTATAATTAAAGAATTTTTTTCTCATTTACTCATTGTTATTCTTAATTCTATAAATGTTCGCATTATTATGATATGGTTTTTACTTATTTATTTTTACATATTTTTATAATTTTTTTATATGGCATTTTAAAGCTGCAGTCCGGCGTTTTTCCTCTTTGTCGCCATCTCTGTTCAAAATCTGCAATTGACCTTATGCAAAGCTGCACTACTTTCTGAACTTAAGCCAGCTCCTTGTTTCCTGTCTGCCATTATTGGCCAAATTGATTAATTCAGGTGTGTCTGATTATTGTTGCCGTGACTACTGAGGTCAGGCACACCTGAATTAATCAATTTGTCCAATAATGACAGACAGGAAACAAGGAGCTGGCTTAAGTTCAGGAAGTAGTGCAGCTGTGCATAAAGCTAATTGCAGTAATTCGCGGCATTATCGACTTTATGTGAGTTGTGCCTCGGCATGGTACAGTGCGTATGAACACAATGTTTGAGGACAGTTGTGAGGCTGTCCGTCACACCACATAAGAATTTTCACCCTAAATTGTCATCTGAACTAGAAAGAAACATCCACTTTTGTTCTGACCAACTAAGGGGAAAAAGCATTGCAGTAAATCGCGCTGATTAAATCTAACGACCGCTTATCATATCAAATTATACTTTGTTCTCAAATTGTTAAATGTTAACAACATTTGCATTGCGTGACTACATTTAATGCCCTTCTGATATTATCCTTGTTTTCGCATGGCCCGGTTGCCAAAACTCTCAGTAAGTATTTTGCATTGTGGGAGAATCACTGGTGACTAGTTGTCACTGGTGATTGTCGTTTGAACCTTTCTGGATCCACCATCAAATTGATAAGTTTAATTATATCAAGTGCTGTGAAAAAAGGTTATAAATCTCCACCTCCAACATCCTCACACACAATATAGCTTGTACTAGCCGAGACTCCTTCTTTATGTGTACAGATGTGACGTAATGATGCAAAGACATGCTCAAATCTCCTGCGGAAATCCACCAGTAACACTGGAGTTAAAAACATTATTACAAGCTTACTGCTTTGAATCGAGCTATGGCAAGCAGAGAGTTTTGACCACTGGCTGGTTATATATTTGCTCAAAAATTTATTTTGGTTCATTTTTAACCCACAAAAGCTACGGACTGCAGCTTTAAACAACTATAGTCCAATTATTATTTTTATTTTCAATTGACTTTTTTCTTTTGCATTCAATTTACTTTTTTCTTTGCCAAAAAAAAAAAAAAAACATTTAAGCAATATATAATTTATTTGTATTGTTGTTATTATTATTGTAATTATTTTAGGGTGAAATATGAAATGCAGACAGGTTTTAATGTGATTCAACTAAAAGAGACGATAGGAGGAGAGAATGACAAAATGATTCATACTAACTCTGTGTTTCTCTCTGTCTCACAGAGACAGGACAGTCTTTATGTGCAAGAAGAATTTGCTTCAGTTGAGTGACTTCTGTCCTGAGTGATGTCACCTCATTCTAAGAGAAGACACAAAAATAAATGAAAACAAAGCAGCAAATGCATGAATCTCTCTTGAAGTTTCAATTGTGTGTTACATAAAGTAGAGACATGTAAACCAAGCGTGAAAGTGTACCTGTAGCTGTAAGTTAGTGTGTGTAAGCTCCTCAGCCTTCCTCTCCAACGATGATACCCAGACTTTTCTCTTCTGTCTGCACCGCGTAGCAGCCGCTCTGTTTCTCTCCAGAAACTTCTGTCTGCGCTCATCAGGGTCATCTCCTGCTGTCCGTCGGCGTCTGCTCGCGGTCGGCTGGGGAGGAGACTGCGGGCAGTGTGTGTGTTTTGGTGAGGAGGACATCTATACAACACAGACATTGGATTAAATAACACAATAGTTTAATACAAACTGTAAAAGTCAGAGTTTGGTGCAAAAATCTAGACCTGTGTAGGTATTGGCTGATGTGAAAGGGGAGGGGCAGTCTGGTGGGAGGAGCCAGGATGCAAGTGCGTGGGTGGAGAGTGATGAGCATGGCTGTGATGTGATTGGTCTAGGCTTTGACGTTGATGTGCAAGTCTTTGCGGTGATTGGCTGTGGCAGTGCTGCTGGTATGTGTGATGATGAGATGAGGATTGTAAATGCGACAGTGGGTGCTGTTGTGACAACATCATCTCCATCATGTGGCAAAGAGGATTCTGACTGCCATTGGAAACTGCAGGCTGGATGTGAACTGGTATGACCTTTGACCTCTGAAGGATTAGAGATGGGGAAAGATGAACATCAATGTCATGTAACACTGTGTATAATTGCCATTTAAAACGGGAAAATCCTAAAGCCAGATTTGTTTTACCGACTTTTGTAGGCAACCATGTGTTTTTAATTTATAGATCTAAGGTTTCCTGTGAGTAGTGATTGTTTGTGATGGTAAGATTGCTTGGCACTTTTAAGTTTTTCAGAACACAGAATCTACAAAGACGGCTTTGAAAAGTCAGATAATAACCAGGTCAACCTGAAGCCTTTGAAATTTAATCTCCTCCACGTTCTGAAGAGAATCAGCCCATGAGACTCTCCTGTATGTGTTGAGTGTGTGTGTGTGTGTGCGTGCGTGAATTCAGCTTTTTAACAGGCAAGACCGCAACATTGCATGTGTCTGAATTAGATAACAAAATCAAGATGTCTACATTAGTTACAAAGCACTGCAGCATTATAATGCCTGCCTGACCTGTAATGTTTCTATAGTGACATCATAATCCTGTAACCATGGAGTCAAATCATTAGTATGGGGCTGTACCTGAAGGGAGGAGCATGAGCCAGAGTGGGCGGGGCCTGGTATGCCAATCATACTGGAATTCATTGACAACTGCGCCTCCATCTGTTATTTTTAAAATATATTAAATTAAGGCGCTGACGTAAAAAGAAATAGAGCTATTACTTTCAATCATTATTTTACAGTGCAGGTGGCTTTGAAATGCTCTCAGATTTACTTACATTCATGGATAATGTCCCAGGCATGGTGTTTGCTTGGGTGCTGTGCAGACAGCTGGGTGCAGATCTGAAATAAGTTTGAGGGATTCAGATAAGTAATGTAAAAAAGACTAAAAGTACATACAACAATAATGTGTTTACTCATGGGGTCAATTTAAAGCAGTTTAGACATTTTCAGAAAGTTAACACAGGTCTGCTATTTGGGGGGGGGGGGGGGGGGGCATGATGTCCTACAACAAAATGCGAAAAGGTTAAGCATTAATTTGCAGCTTTTCAACATCTTTACAAAGACAAGCTGGCAAATTCTAAAGATGCAATGCTACATAAAAAAAATAATATTCTGAGTCCCAAATATGTCATTTACGATGCTGTATTGCATTAAATGACTTACTTTATGCATCTTCATATTTATTTGTAAAGCAAACTGTCTGCTTAACCAGAATGTTATCAACAACACTGACAAAACGGCGCTATACTACGCACATGGCACCCATTATCGTTAATATAACACGCGCTATGAGGGCTAAGTTTAGGTGTGGGGTAGGGTGTGCGTGTCATATTCACGCTAAAGGATTTATAACGTTTTGGGTTCGCGTGTTATATTAACGATAAAGGGTGCCATGTGCGTAGTATTGCGCCGTTTTTGCATATAGCGTTCTATATGACGTTAAAGGATGAGAACGGGCTGGTAGTTTATCTATGTCAAGTTTGTGTCCTGTTTTCATTCTGTTACCTGCCTGTCTGAGTTCACGTTAATCTCCTTATTAATTAGTCATTCTGTTCAGGTTGTCATTATCAGTTCCCTTTGTTTGCCTCTTGTATTTACACCCTAAGGGACTGTTTACAAGACAATGGTGTCGTGTGTACGCGGAAAACTCAAAGGAAAAACTTCTCAGTTTTAAGTATATTGTTGTCGTCTAAACGTACCATTAGTTTCTATCTGCTTCCTTTGTCCGTTCTTGTCAATTTTAAGTGGTTGTGTTTGCCTTATTCTCCTGAGTTCTCCTGTAATTCTTGAGTGTCCCCCGAGGCCCACACCAGGAAATTTCAACTACTGCCATGCGTCACAAACTTCCCAGACCAATCGCTGTGCACTTTCTACCTGACCAGCCTAAACACGTAAACGAAGGCATGCCTGCCCGGTGTAGGTGCTTGGTGGAATTTTGGTGCGGCCCACAACACTGCCCAGCAGAGGATCTCAGCCCCATTCCCACAGATCTAGAACCCAGCCAGCAATAATACCGCCACATGGATACGACACCGAGCCTTCCTCAAAAGGAGGGACTGAGGCTACCACGATGCATGAGCCAGTGCTAAGAAAAGGGTATGAGCCAAACATTTCCTCCAGAGGCGTCTGAACAGGCGTGTGAGCCGGCAACACTGTAGCCCTTTCACACAGCGCACTGATCCTGGGAAATTGCCAGAACGCCTTCTGTGTGAACACGACCCGGGATTGATACCGGCATCGATGCCGGCAGGGGTATGGCCAGGGATTTTGGGCCCCTTGAAAAAATAGGTAGCCTACTGCTGCACACGTTCAAATCAATCTCTGGGGCCCCTAAAAGTGTGTGGGCCCTTAGAATCATCCTAACTTTTCCCCCCTTAGCGGCGCCCCTACCGGGTTGGGGACCTAGTAACATTGCCGGGATCAGTCCCGGAACGCGCACTGTGTGAACAAAAGCCAGGACCAATGCTGTAAGGGGTGTGTCATAGTGATGACGCTCGTGCCATCGCGCGACTCTGTTGCTCTAGAAGAAAGTTTGTGTTCGTCATCAACAAAGAGAGGACGAACAAATATGAGTAAACTGGAACGAAGCAGAGACCATGAGCTCTGTTTTCTCTGTGTTCTCTGTTTTTGTGCATGTTTTCGACACGTACGTTACATGTCTCATCCTGAGGTCATGTGCCTTTCCGGGATCGTTACGGGTTGTGTGTGTGAACACACTCAAAGATCCTGGCAAATCACTGGCAGTGTGAATGAACCGAAATCAAACATTCCCGGGACAAATGCCGGGTCACATTATCTGTGTATTTTCCGGAATCTCTGTGTGAAAGGGGCTTGTGTGACATCTTGGCATGGGAGCATTGATGGAGTTCGAGGGCCCATACTCCCACCACTGAGGGTGAAATGCAGCTGACTTCTGCAGTTCATTTTTATGATGAAGTTGAAATAGAACTTTACCTTGATATACCCCTGATCGTCAAATTTAGTTAGAAATCTCCTGTGTTGAAGGTTCATAGTCTCCTGTCCTGCACCACCGCTGGTTCTGCCCAGCACAAATCCCCCACATCTCCGGAGTTCCCACCCAGCCTCCTTCTCCCACCTCCTCTTCAAGCTCCCAGTCTCTGCTGTCTCCTGTCAATCCCTCAGCTCCTCCTCCTCTGCTTCCCCTCTGTGTCGTGGATCCACCTCAGGTCTTCCGGCATCCAGCTACTCCTAGAAGAAGGTGTCCCCTGGCTCCGCCTCCAGCCGCTGATCCCATCACCTTACCTCGGCCCATTGTCCAGACTCTTCCGTCTCGGCTCCACCTCCTCAGTTGCTCTTCATCCCTTCAGTACCAAGGTTCCTCCTCGGACGGTCATCGCTGCGGCTCTGTCGCGGTTGCCAGGTCCAGTGGTGTCACAGTGTCCCATCTGCGTCCAGGGCTCAACCACCATCGGATCTATCTCCTTTGCTTGTCCCTATGATGTTGGTGAGGGATTCTCGACCATGTTTCCTCCCTCAATTGACGCTGCGGTGGGCCATCTTCCTGGCTGGACTCTGGGTTCCTATATTGCCACTCATGCTCCTGGTTCCCCTCTGACTACTCCCTCCCTCCACTTCCCCATGGACTATGTTGTTTGCCCCTGACTGTGTTTGGTCCTGTCCTCTTCCACATCCTCCTCCAGAACCCTTCCCTCCCTCCTTAGTTGGACCTTGTATGGCATGAGAATGGGGTTGTAATGTCACTTTTGTGTCCTGTTTTCAATCTGCCTGTCTCGAGTTCTTGTTAATCTCCTTGGTTACTCAATGATTAGTCATTCTGTTTCCTTTGTCTGTTCTCGTCAATTTTAAGTGGTTGTATTTGCTTTATTCTCATGAGTTCTCCTGTACTTCCTGAGTGTTATAGTAAAGATTGTTGTAGTATTTCTATGGTCATGCGTTTTATTCACCACAGTCGCACGTGACAATCTATCAATAGATAATATTTATCTATTAATTATTGGTTTACTATAGCAACAGTAGGCTACTGTCACATTTATTTTCAGAATTGCCATTGGATGGTTTAAAAGTAAAAACTGCTTCATTTACAGTGAAAATAAGATATCTACATGCAGATCTGCAGAGTAGACAAAGTACCAACATTTTAAAATATCTATATATCTAAATTCAAATAAATAAAACCATTTGCCCATCCAGGATATCTGCCAACTCACCGTTCTATAGTCGAGAACCGGTCAATGAGAAAAGAAGAGTATGGGGGTATTCTGGTAAATGCATGCTATACTCACTGTTTATTTGAAGTAGAGTATGTGGCAGTGCATTGAGACTGAGTCTGTGAGCTGTGTGTGTGGAGCTGGTTCTGGTTCAGATGGGCCAGAGCACACTGCTGCTGTTGCTGAGGCCGAAACTGATGATGTTGACCCTGCTGTGGTTGTGTCTCAGTGTGAAGCTGGTTCTGAGCAGACACCTGAGCAGAAAAGTTCTATAAGCAAGAATATTTGTAGAATTTAGAAAACATTTATATGCTAAATATTCAATATATATAATACTTTAAAAAGATTTAATTTAATAAAATAAATGTACATAATTTCTCCTTCCTCTGCCTCTCTATTGACCTCTCCATCTGTGTGTGTATGAGAACTGTTTGATATGTAATACTCTTAATATGATCATCTGATAATCTGATCTGATTGCTTGGTTTTGTTTTTCACGCTAACGTCCACATGAACTCATACACACACATTGTTTTACTATTTGATACTACTTCATACAGAATGGACATTTATGCAAACATTTATTTACTTGCACATTTGTGTAAGCTTTTGAAACATGTATTTCATCCCACCGGTTTTGTCTCCTCCTCCACCTGTGACTGGTTAAGCTCCAGGTCAGTAAAGAGGCCTACTTCCTCACAGTCCAGTAAGAAACGGGTCGGAGTTGGAGTCTGATCTATAGATGAACAAAGAATACATGTTTATCATGTATTCTTATAAAATGCTACTGGCAATATATAAAGGAAGTAACAACCCAATTGAACAATGAGATGTACTAAACACATGTAAACTGAGGAGGCATTGAAGATTTCTCAAGGTCATATAGAGTGAAAACTTTAGATCAGTAGATCAATATCAAGTAACCTTCAGGCTTTCTAAACAAATGTAAAGAAACTATAGCCCTCTACTCAATGTCAAGAGCAGAGCTTGTCTCAAGTAATCTTCTGGCATGCTGGGAAAATGTTAAAAATTAACATGTCATAAACATGAGCCTGATTTTGCTCGTGTTGTTTTGGTAATTTAGAGGTAGTCTAAACGAAACTGCTTTTTCTAGACTACTATGAGAGGGGTCAGAAGGTAAAGTTCTTCTTTTGTTTTTTATGTAAATGTTTCTGTCGCTGCAATGATGGCTCACAGACCCCTGGAGGTCAAGGGTCGGGCTGATGTTTATATATCAGACATTGGGTTTCCAGGGTAACAGACAGTGTCTAAATCCTAAATTAAAGGAGATGGAGAGCATGACCTATCACGACACTCACACACACATTCACTTTTCACAGGCTATTCTATTACTGCCCTTGATCTGTATTGATACTGGTTGCATAGAAAATATTAATACTTGTTGATGATAAAACGTGTGTTTTGTGTGAATAATTGGGTACCCACCCTTACCTGAAAGCATATTGTCACACTTAATAGAAGGGAATTTAAGTGTCATCTCATGTTTGTGTCTGTGAATTATTAGGTGATCTTCTCTTTGAAAGCGCTATGAGAACAAGAAACATAGTAGGCCATGACAATACTGAAAGAGCACAGCTGCTGTTTTACATGAAAGATATTACATAAAAGATACACATGTGTTTTCTGATGTTAAAGGGTTAGTTCACCCAAAAATGAAAATTAAGTCATTAATTACTCACCCCCATGCTGTACCAACCATGTAAGACCTTCGTTCGTCTTCGGAACACAAATGAAGATATTTTTGATTAAATTTGAGAGCTGTATAACTACCACATAGACTGCCTAAGGGACTGGCTCTTGACGGCCCAGAAAGTCAAAGAAGAAAATGTTTAAATATTCCATGTGACTACCGTGGCTCAACTATAAGTTTATCAAGCGACGACGAGAATACTTTTTGTGCGAAAAAACAAACAAAAATAACGACTTTATTCGACTATTCCTTTTCTTCCTTGTTGGCCTGAAACGAGACTTCAGTACGATTTCCACGACGCATGCGCGAGAATTGCGATCTCCTTTAACTACTTCAGTTCAGTTCTCGCGCATGCGTCGTGGAAATCGTATGGAAGTCTCGTTTCAGGCCAACAAGGAAGAAAAGCAATAGTCGAATAAAGTCGTTATTTTTGTTTGTTTTTTCGCACAAAAAGTATTCTCGTCGCTTGATAAACTTATAGTTGAGCCACTGTAGTCACATGGGATATTTAAACATTTTCTTCATTGACTTTCTGGGCCGTCAAGAGCCAGTCCCTTAGGAGCCTATGTGGTAGTTATACAGCTCTCAAATTTAATCAAAAATATCTTCATTTGTGTTCCGAAGACGAACGAAGGTCTTACGGGGTTGGTACAGCATGGGGGTGGGTAATTAATGACTTAATTTTCATTTTTGGGTGAACTAACCCTTAATGTAATTCTTCAATTTACTGCACTCCAAGTGATGGCTAAAATGTATGATATCATAGCATACATAAAACACAGCCAGTCAGCCACCAGCAAACTGAACATTTTTCACTTACCTGCGAGCATCCAGGAGCAGTGCACACATATGGCCTGTTCTGATCAATATTCATCACTGTGATCTAAAAAAACCCCTAAACGTACATATACACACACACATGCACACACACATACAGACAGACACATGCACACATGGGATATGACATTATAAAATGCTCATGACAAATAAACAGACAAATAGTCAAATAAAAACGTCAAATATCTATCTATCTATCTATCTATCTATCTATCTATCTATCTATCTATCTATCTATCTATCTATCAACATACTTTCATACAAATATATAACAGACAGATCATAGATATAGCCTGCAGAAAAATGACACTGAATTAGTGAAATATAGTTTTTCAAACGCTTGGCGCTATTTCAATTTTTCTCAGTTCTGCATATTTTGCTCACATTTCCCTGTTTGAGTTCTCTTATCTTATTTAGTCAATACGTCTCACATCATAGTCGCACCTTTTATATATATTTTACAACACCCGCTACTTGGCCAGTCACTCATAAGGTGAGCATTCCCCTAGTCATGACATCATCATTTAGTTCAACCGGGCCAGAGTTTGAATTGGCAAGACGGGTACGGTGCTAAAATGTCTAACCGGCCTGCAGAATGACGTAATGTCGAAACCGGAGGACGCGGTGTCACGAATTTTACAAACCCAAACAACTGAGATCAGACATTCTAACCAGGGGCAATAATGTGATATTTTAGCGGTGAAAACATCGTGAAGTTGTATGAATCACTTTGGAATAGGCAATTTTACGTGTCGGCAGGTGTCATAGCCTATTTTGGGAAAAATAGCTCATAATTATAATAGCCAAATGATAACTTGATTAACCCAAAGTTAATGCTAATAGCCCACTACTCCCTCAAAACATGCGCACGTGTCCGATCAAACAAATATGTATAATTCAAACAGACTTTGAACAGTAAACTGTCAAACAGCCATTCCCCTAAAACATTAGCTATTTGTTGACAAGTTTGTTGACAATCTTTAGACTACTTAAGATTTACAAAGACACCCTTTTGGGATAGTCAAAATCTTTTTATTCTAATACTCTTTTTTATCTGTTTTTGGTAGTGTCACACCCCCTCAAATAGACAAAACAGTTACGAACATTTCAATGAAACCGGCACTTTGACTGACACTAACTTGATCGTAAAACAACAACAACAGTAAAAAAAATAAATAAAAAAAAAATAAAAATCCCAACAGCACTGTACAAGAAACACGGCCAATTTGTGTTCGGAACATCACATTCACAGGCGAGTGTAAAACAGTAAAACTAACTTACCTAAACGCACGCAGACAGAGACTAGCAACGCTCCTCGCGCTCAGACGAAGCACGCTGAAGTGAAACGCGATTACAATATGATCTATTTACAGAAGCATTACATCACCTCATGGTGACGTCACGTGGGATTCCTGAACTTCTAAATCATTGCGGTCCGTTTTTTAAAAGGGAGGGGTTTTGAGACAACTCGCACCCGCCCACCGTTGAATGTAGCGGGCGTCCGATGCGGACATTGGCGCGTTGGGAGAAAAAAGGGAAATGGGAGGCGCTTCGCTCATGCGTGCTGCGCCAACAGCTGTCTGGAGCTGTGCGCGGGACGGTCCCGATGAGCGAATGGTGTGTGATGATAGGCCTATAGAGAGAAGAGAGAGAAAGGGCATGTATGAGCGTGTTAGCTCTTGGCTTAACTCTTTTAATTCCAGATAGTTGTTGTTTGGGTTTTGGATTTCCAATTAAATAAACTGCTTGCTTTAGTCAAACTATTTCTTTAAATTTATGTTTCATTTTATTTTGTTGCCTGTTAATATAGCTAGGTGTTGTGGATTAATCATTATTAATTCCAAATTGAGCTCGTTTTATCAACAAATTAATAACAGCTATAGGCTACAAAATATGGTTGTATCAGTCTGTATCAAGACATGCTTTAGAACTTTGTCACTGACATCAACTTTTAGAGGGGTCAACTAAAATTAAAGCTCTCATCATGTGACAGTTCATTGTCATTTAAGACAGTTTAAACTTTTATTGGTCGCTGACATCTTTAAGTACACTTGGACTGTTCAAATTAAAAGTAAATTTGGTCAGTGAGACGTTAGCTTTCTGTGTATTTCGAGTTCACTTTGCAGAAACAAGGCCCATTGTGTTTTTTAAAGGGGGGATCATTTAAGACAAACTTATTTATTCAAAATTTCAGAACTTAAGGCTTCATAAACAAAAAATGTAAAGCCACAAAGTGTGACCCCATCTGTCAGAGATGCTTTATATGATGACATTAGCCTGATATAATGAAAACAGTT